TCCTTTATCGCCTTTCTTCTTCTTTCATGGCGTCCACCAAATCGAGTCTACCTCACCTTGCAATTACTTTATTTGATCGAAGCATTTTATTGAATAACCCACTCTAAAAATTACAATAGGCGCTCTATTCATAAAGAAGGTTCTAAGCACAAGAAGCAAAAAATGGCCAATACACTTCCTACCGTCACAATACCTAATAAGATTTCTTTGATTGCATGGAACATAGCGGGCTCTCAGGGCGAAATAGGAGATGTCGAATTTTTCGAGGGCATTCATTGTGCTGCACTAAATGAATCATTCCTTCCAGTGAAAACCTGAATGAATGCTTTTATTACCTCTTAGTTTCTCCATGTTCTTTACTAGATGCCTATTTACGATACTTAGTGTGGGTGGTAACCCTGATTTTTGGCACTATTTCAATATCTTCAAATAAGATTAAACGTGCGTGTTTTTTGCAAAAATTAAGGCTACTGCGTTGTAGCCAAGCTACAATCTATCTCTGCTCTATCTGTTAAGCACTAGCTTGGACGTCCATGAATGCTCTTTTTTTTGTAAGAAAATTTTTCTGTAAGCACCCACTATTTTTCTGCGTGGCGCTAGTGAGCGGCATAGTTGCTACTCCTTTGTATGCCAAGGAAGTTTCTCCTACCCCTAATCCAGCAAGTCAACATCATTCAGACAGCGCTTTAAAGGCACAGGCGAGTGAAGAAGAGAAAGATCTTCCTTTACTTTTTTTGACCAACCAGATTGTTTTTCAGGTGTTGTCTGCTGAGCTTGCATTGCAGCGTGGGCAGCCTGCCACGGCGTATAAAACCTATTTGGCATTAATGCGTGAGACTTCCGATCCACGTATGGCGCAACGTGCTACCGAAATTGCTGTGAGCACGGGAAGTTCGGTTGAAGCTTTGGTTGCTGCGGGTCTGTGGCGTAAACATGCCCCGCATTCTCGGCGCGCAGCGCAAGTAGAAGGGATATTGCTCATTCTTAATGGGCAACTAGAGGAGGCGCAGCCTCTTATAAAGAAAGAGTTGGCTAATACGCCTGCAGCCAGGCGTGCTTCGGCTGTCCTCTCGCTGCAAAGCCTCATTGCACGTAGTCCTGACCCCTTAAAAGGGCTGCAATTTCTGAAAACTTTATTAAAAGATGACCAAGATCTTCCAGAAGCAGAATTTGCTCTCGCACGTCAATATTTAGCGGCTAACCAACCAGAAGCTGCGCATCAAGCACTGAAAAAAACATTAGCGCTTAAACCTAGCTTAACGGAAGCTGCACTATTGCTGGCGCAACTAGGCCCAATACAGCGGCAAGAAGCAATCGCATCATTGCAGGATTTTGTTGAAAGTAATCCTGAAGAACATGCGGCATTGCTTGTTTTGGCACAGCTGTATATTGCGGATGGAAAGCTTAATGCGGCTGAAAACATTTTTCAGCGTTATGCCAAAAGTAATCCTAGCGATTTGACTCCTTTGCTAGCTATTGCATTAATCGAGCTACAACAAAAGCATTACAGTCGCGCTGAAAATTACTTACAACGCTATATTCGTTCTGGACGTGAAGCTTTGGATGTGAATACCCATGCGAATATGGGGCAGGCGTATCTGTACCTTGCACAAATTGCGGTAGAGCGAAAAAAATATGCGTTGGCAGAGCAACACTTATCAAAAATCCGTTCTAGCAACCCCAGGTATTTTGCAGCACAAATTGCTAAAGCCGAAGTGTTAGCCAAAATGGGGAAGTTTGATGCAGCGCAAACTATTTTAAAGCGCTTGCGAAGCCCACTTGCTAGCGATCAAGCGCTGATTGCGTTAACTAGCAGCAGCATTCTTTTTGAGGCGCAACGTTACACGCAAGCGGAAGCCGAGTTGGCTAAGGCCAATCGCCGTTTTGCAAATGAACCTACGCTTTTGTATACCTATGCAATGGCCGCAGAAAAAAATGGGCATTACACGCTTATGGAAAGCCTGCTCAACCGAGTCATTGAGCTGCAGCCTGATAATCCCAACGCCTATAACGCATTAGGTTTTTCTCTAGCAGACCGCAATGTGCGTTTAAATGAAGCGTATAAATGGATCCAACGCGCAAGCGAGTTGGCTCCTAAGGATCCGTATATTATGGATAGCCTGGGGTGGGTAAGGTATCGTCAAGGCCATTTTAAGCAAGCCGCGAAAATCTTAAAACAAGCCTATCGTATTCAACCTCAAGCCGAAATCGGTGCGCACCTTGGCGAAGTGCTATGGATGCAAGGCAAACAAAATGCCGCGCGACAAATCTGGCAAGCAGCACAAAAACTGGATCCGCAGAACGAAACCTTAAAAAGAGTTTTAAAGCGTTTTCCAGAGAAAAAAATACCAGAATAACTCCCTTCCAAAAAAATTTGCAGGCAATCTCTAGGATCTTTTTATGCGGCTAATCCGACTCATTTTCTGTGGCGCTCTGGCATGTATGGCTGGTTGTACGTCGTTGATGCCGGGTCCTATAGTTGCACCACTGCCTGATAATTTTGCATCTACCCCTGAGCGTGCCAGGTTGGCTCTACAAGGGCGTTTTGCTGTGCGTTACGAGGATGCACATTATCGAACCAAGCATGCTTATGGGCATTTTTCATGGGCTGAAAAAGAGAATACGGTGACGTTAGAGTTAAATAACCCTTTGGGTCAAACCTTGGCGATTATCACAGCTCCACGTTCCTCAATATTGCCACCTACTGCTTTTGTACAAACACCATCGCCTATAGCGGAGCAAGCCCGCATTGAATGGCCCAACCACACTGCACAAACGGCAGATAGTGCGGAATTGCTTATGCAAAAAACACTAGGCTTTACTATCCCTTTACGTCCTTTGCGACAAGTTTTACTGGAAATGACTTCGTCGGCGCCATTACGCAGCATCGAACAAGACGGCTGGGTTGTAGAGCGTATGTCGCGAACCCATTTTTCTGCTGCTCAACGTTTTACTTTGGAGCACCGTGATCCTCCAGCTGTACACGTTAAGCTGATCATTACGCATTGATGCTATGCCTTCCCTGCCATTAAAAATGATATGAGAGTGGTTACTGAAACAGCTATTAAAGCTAAGCCCCGAAATATTCCATGGCAAGCACTCGCTCCTGCCAAGCTCAATCTTTTTTTGCATGTTACTGGGCGGCGCGAAGATGGATACCATTCCCTCCAAACCGTATTTCAGTTGCTAGACTGGGGGGATACGCTGCACTTCTTGCGGCGGGAAGATGGCAAAATGGTTCGCACTACCGCACTTTCCGATATTTCTGAAGCCAATGACTTAAGTTTGCGTGCAGCGCGGCTTTTACAGGCGCATACAGGCTGCTTGTACGGCGTTGAGATACAAATAGACAAGCGCCTTCCAATGGGCGCTGGTTTAGGGGGAGGGAGCTCAGATGCCGCCACCACCTTATTGGTGCTCAACCAGCTATGGGACTTGCATCTGCCCAGAGCGCAATTGCAGCAATTGGCTTTATCATTAGGTGCAGACGTCCCTTTTTTTATTTTCGGACAAAATGCTTTTGCAGAAGGTGTAGGAGAGCATTTACAAGCCCTCACCTTGCCTACAGAGCATTGGTTGATCATTACACCCCCTGTTTTTGTATCCACAATGGATATTTTTTCTGCACAGGAATTGACACGGAATACGAAAAACATCAAAATCGCGGACTTCGTTGCTAATTGGCATTCGCATTCAATGCGAGGCGTTAATAAGCAGGGTAGTCTTTTGCGTAATGATCTGCAGCCTGTTGTTGTGCAGCGGTACGCTGAGGTAGCTAAGGTACTAGATTGGTTTCAGGCAGTAGACCCTTTATGTTGCGCTCGTATGACGGGCTCGGGTTCTAGTGTTTTTGCCGCTTTTCCTGATAAATTAGCTGCACTAGCTGCGCAAGCACTTGTTCCTGCTACTTGGCGTAGTCAAGTAACAGTCAGTTTGCAGCAGCATCCTCTTTTGCATTATTCAAATTAGAAGGATTCTTGCGTAGCGTTTTACGCTGCAATAGATACTCTTTCTGCCTGTATCCACTGCATATAAGTGCAGTGCTCTGTAGGGGAGTCGCCAAGTTGGTTAAGGCACCGGATTTTGATTCCGGCATCCGAAGGTTCGAGTCCTTCCTCCCCTGCCCATTCATAGTGGGCTTCCTTTTTATTTCCCAATACTTTTGCATCCTCTTTTTGCTCAGATGAATCAAAAAAAGCGCAGGCCTCTCCTGCCATGAGGCAGCTATCCTCGCTCTAGCTTGCTCTATTTCCCACGCTAGTAATCTTACAAGCTGATGTTACACACGTTGTAGAGCAGTGAGGTATCGATAAGCGGAGCGCGAAAATTAAAAGTAGGTATATGCATGTTGGGGTTCGTGCCTCGCCACCAACCTACCTCTATCGCAAAGATATGAGGTATTAAAAATACAAAGCTGGGCTTCTGGCATCAACCAAATGAGAAAATAAAATCACAAATAGTTGATTATTTAACTTGATTAGTTTAAATTCCTACATAGACGCTCTGTTTTTTTGAACAGTCGATAACTAGAGGAATCAATATGACTACCTTTCATTCCTATCCAGACTCTCCAAGGGATTATTCTTTATTCCCTCGTGCTCCACTCGTTAAGTCTTCTAGGCGCATGCTCTTTTTAAGCGGCTTCAGGCATTTTGCCACTTCAATCCCGCATTGCTATTTTGCTGTACTTTTGCGCAAAAAATTTTCCAGAGCACCATTAGCTCGATATTGGCACTCCTTTCCCAGCTTGGTTCAAGCCGGACGGAATAATTACGCCGGTATTCGTTTCCGAGTAGCGCTTCACTAGAGAGGTGGCAAGATGACAGTCTCCTTGCAAGCTTTGCAGGCAGGACGCATCTCTTTCCCATTCAACTACCCCTCTTTTTTTTCTAAACCTGATGTTGCGCATTGCAAAAGCAAGCCTGAGCGCAGCTTCATCGAAGCTGAGTGTATTGGAGCAGAATTCAGCCTTAATAAGCAGATTGTAGAACGGTGGGAACACGTAAAAGCGGTACTAAAAGACGATACCTGGTACCGCGGGCAAGGGCTAACTAGCGAAGAGGAAGCGAGGTTTGCGACCGTGCTTTCTAGCTTTGCTAAAGCATGTGAGCCATTAGTGCGATGGGCAGGAAAAGAGAAAAATGTTGAATGTAGGGTGCCTTCTTCGCCTGATTATCCAGAAACAACTTCTGTATCACAACTACAAAATAGTGAAATCGAAGCAGGATTAACTTATTTGCATAAAGTGATGTTGGGGTTCAATACATGCTATCTGGCATTCAAGGTTGAGCCAGAAATGCAGGGAAAAATGGATTTCTTGTTCTGCTTTTCATTAATTTTAATTTTATCCCCTGTAATTGCTCCGATTTTTGCACATATCGGTGCTGTACTGGCTATTTCACCAGCTATGGCCACATTGTTTGGGCAATGTTTTGTTCATGTTTCTGTAGCAGTACAGTTGTTTAGGCTTTTGTCAGCTTATATACAAGATAATCGACAAGCGCATTTGAACAAGCATAAAAAACTATTCAAGCAATTTTCAGAGCAATTAGAGAAATATTCGAGAGAAAACATGAATGCAACGACTGCACATATTAGAATTGATTCAGTTTATCACCGACTCCAAGAATTAACACAAAGATTAGCGGCGCTTGAAGCCAAGAAAAGTACTGATGCCGCTTTCAATAAAGATGATCTAGCGTTGGCTTTAGTTGATTCTGGGTTACCACCAGAAAAAGCGGACATAGTGTTTCAATCTATGACGCAGCGAGCAAATGCACGCCATGCCACTGGCAATGCCTTAGATGCCGCAGGCAATCAAGCTTAATTTCATAGTGTAAACGTAAGCGCTGCGAGCCACTTGTAAAACACGGCATAGCGTATGCATAGTAAAACAGGCCTGGTCTGCCATCACCAATCTCGAAGATACAATGGACGTCTTCTCGCTTTTGTAGGCATTCCAGGCCGTAGCTTTTGCCAATATAACGCGCTTTTTATTTTCTTATCCTTTTCCAATAGAAATTATGAGTGTTATTTTTCGACCACACGATAGACTATTTAAAGCTCTTATGGAAAATCTCGACGTAGCACGAGATTTTTTACAAGCTCATTTGCCAAAGGCACTCACAGAGCAATGCCGCTGGTCAACATTACGTTTAGAAAGTGGCACATTTATCTCGCCAAAATTACGCGAACACATGTCAGATATGCTGTATTCGGTGCAAGGCGAAAAAAGTGATATTGGAATTTACATACTTATAGAGCATCAAAGCTCTCCCGATGAGCTAATGCCTTTCCGAATATTGGAATATAGACTGGCCGCGATGCGTAAGTATATTGAGCAAAACCAAGGCAAGAAATTGCCCATTGTGGTGCCTTTGCTTTTTTATAACGGCTTACAGTCTCCATATCCGTACTCAATGAAGCTGATGGATTGCTTCCAGGATGCTGAACTAGCACGCCAATTTTTTCCAGAATCTACATCACTAGTCGATTTAACCGTTATTCCCGATGAGGAATTATTCAGTCATCAGCATGCGGCGGCCCTAGAAATAGTAATGAAGCACGCGCGAACCAGAGATATTTATTTAGTGTTGCAAGATATACTCAAGCCTCTTTTAGACTATCCGCTCCCTGTTGACAAAGGACTTAACATATTGCAGTATTTGATGCAAGAGGGTAACTGCCAGGACAATGAGAAGTTTTTTTCGTATGTCATTGAGCATGCACCGAAGTATGGAGATGAAATTATGACACTCGCACAGCAACTGGAACAAAAAGGCCGATTAGCTATTATGCGGAGTTCGGTATTAAATATGTTGAAGAATGGTTTAGATCCGGCGCAAATTATTAAATTTACTGGATTTGATGAAAACGAAGTTACTAAAATTGTCGAAAACAAAGATAAAAAATATTAAAGTCTAGCTTATTTTGCACATAGTGCGCTTTGCGCTACTATCCAGCATTTATCCCCTCGGACTCTAGGAGCGCGTGGGGATTTTTTATTTAGGGGATTTAAGAAGGAGGCTGCCGAAGTAAGTGACTATTATTTCGACTCAGTAGGGCAGCTTGTGGAAGATTTTTGGGCTTCAGTCAATCAAATGCTTAAGGAGGAAGGGGTATGGAAACACTAAAGTTAGGCATCATGCGCCGTGACGAGTTTCAGCTCTATACACTCGCTATCGCTAAAGGGGAAATTAAACCGGAAGCTGATGCACCTAAAGTTTGGTTTGACAGTGTGGAATCTCTGGCACAAATTTTAAGTACTGAAAATAGAGCCTTACTTCATACAAACACTGACAAATACCCACTCTAAAAAATGCCCACTCTAAAAAATGCCGGATGGCAAAGAGGGGCTATGATCTTTGATCCTGAGAAAGCGTTGCAAAACTTACGCAAACATAGGTGGGTTTAGCAGTTGGTTATACAGAGTTATTAGATCCACATGCTTTGAGACAAAAAACGCGCATGAGGAAGAGGGGGCACGCCTGCTGCAAATTCATGCAACACAACAGGCGTGTTACAATTACGCCCCTGTTCTGAGATTCAAATCTGTTGTGCCGAATACCGATGAATCGCGGGGCGCGAAATGGCGCGCTCCGCGATTTCTATTTTTGGGCGGTAAAATGGTTCAGGTCTTGAGATAAAGGGCTGCGGATAGCCCACTGATACGTTCTACTTTGTACATTCTTTCCACTCTCTTACTCTTTGAAAACAATGAGCAATAACAAAGGCTTAATGGTTTTTGCGGGCAATGCCAACCCTGAACTTGCTAAAGATGTGGTTAAAAATCTTGGTATTTCGTTGGGTAAAGCGCTGGTGAATCGCTTCTCGGATGGAGAGAGTCAGGTTGAAATTCAGGAGAATGTGCGGGGTAAAGATATCTTCGTGCTGCAATCTACTTGTGCGCCGACCAATGACCACCTGATGGAATTGATGTTGATGGTGGATGCGCTCAAGCGCGCTTCTGCTGAGCGTATTACAGCGGCTATTCCTTATTTTGGCTATGCGCGTCAAGATCGACGTCCGCGTTCGGCTCGTGTGGCTATTTCGGCGAAAGTGGTTGCCAATATGCTGCAAGTCGTTGGGGTGGACAGAATTGTGACCATGGATTTGCATGCAGATCAAATTCAAGGCTTTTTTGATATCCCTGTCGATAATATTTATGCTGCGCCGGTTTTGCTTGGAGATTTGCTCCAAAAAAACCGAGATGATTTATTAGTGGTCTCCCCCGATGTAGGAGGGGTGGTGCGGGCACGGGCTTTTGCTAAACAACTCCATACCGATTTAGCCATCATCGATAAGCGCCGCCCAAAGGCAAATGTTGCTGAAGTGATGAATGTGATTGGGGAAGTTGAAAATCGTACCTGCGTGATTATGGATGATATGGTCGATACAGCAGATACCCTGTGTAAAGCAGCCCATGCGCTTAAGCAGCGCGGCGCTAAAAAAGTATTTGCGTATGCAACCCATCCTATTCTTTCCAATCAGGCGGTTGCGCGTATTGCGAATTCTGAATTGGATGAATTGGTTGTAACCGACACGATTCGCTTGCAAGAAGATGCGCTGCAAAGCTCAAAAATTCGCCAGCTCTCCGTCGCTGGCTTACTTGCAGAAACGTTTTCCCGTATTCGTTGTGGCGACTCTGTAACGTCTCTTTTTGCTGAAACATCTATGTAATATTGTACGCAATGCGCTTTGGATGGGGCATTGCGTTTTTTTAGTTTTTTTGTCGCCGGGTAACCTGGTCGCGGGTTGCTTTTTTTGGAGAATGAAATGGAAGTTATTGCTTTTGAACGCACACAGCAGGGTACGGGTGCGAGCCGCCGTCTGCGCCGTGCAGGAAGAACCCCAGCTATTGTTTACGGTGCTGGCCAACCCGCTCAACAAATTGAGCTAGATCATAATGATTTAACGCATGCGTTAAAAAAAGAAGTATTTCATTCTTCTATTTTGTCCCTGAAAGATGAAAAAAGTGGCAAGGCACAGCAAGTCTTATTACGCGCTGTCCAATATCATCCGTTTAAGCCCATTATTTTGCATATCGATTTTCAGCGTGTTGATGCGAAACAGAAAATCCATATCAAAGTGCCTCTTCATTATTTGAATCAAGAATCCTGTAAA